TTAAATATCGACGACATTCCGACGTCGCAAATCGAAAAACAACGTTATCAGTTTTGGTGCAAAAACGGTGGTAAAATGGTCCACAACGCCTATGATTGCTCAAGGTCCATTTCTAGACTTCGCCCGTAATTAACATCCAACTTTTCACTGCAACCAGAAAGAACATACAATGCAAAAGGTAGCCAGTGTAAAAGGGACGAGAAAAACAGAAAGGAAAGGGCCAACAAACGAAATTGAGAACGGTTAATAGCAAAAAAAAAAAAAAATTGGATTATGCGCATGCCTGGACTTGAAGGTTTGCTCAATTTTGTACCTAGTCCTCGAAAAATCTCTACTTTTAGTAAAAAAAAAAAGCCTTTTTAGCAAAACTTAGGCTTATTTAGCGTCATGGCAGCTAAAAAACCTTACTAAACGCTTAAAAACGGTATTTCAGTTTTGGCGAAAGTTTGGTATTCAAAGGGTTAAAAAACCCGCTCCAAATTTCACCGGCTTTAAATTGGAAAGTTCAAAATCTTGCTTTGCGAAACGTTTCAAAAATCAAGCTCCTTTGCATTTCAAGTTATAATGAAATAGTGTTATAAATTTGGTCAAAAAGTGGCAAATTATTGTTGATAATATCGTGGATACGACAAAAACCTCATGTGATCCAAGAGAAAACTCCTCTTTTAAATTTATGGTTATCGAAGTTATTTCTCTGTTCAGTAATGAGTTCTGTTGCAATTCGTTTTACTTTTTTTCATACGAATACTGGCAGATATCTCCAACCAGCGGGAGATTGTTTTAAATTATTATCGTTCTCTCTAAATAACATTGTAGTTGTTATTGCCGCTAAATTCGATGTTTGCTAAATTCGATATTGCTACTAAATTCGATGTTTCATGGAACCTTTCGAACAGTCTGTTAGAGAACTTTTCAAGCGTTGAGGAAACTGCTTCGACCAACGTGAAGAGTAAACTAATTTTATAAGCCGTTTTATACCTATCTTGATACCTCAGAAACTGTTCACAACTAGAAAGGGTAACTACATATACACTGCTGAAGTTGCAGAGATATGAAAAAATTATTTAATTTGAAACAATTTTATTTACTGGAATTAGGCGAACTACATATTTTCTGGTGCTGTGAAAAACGCCTTCTTGTTTTGGTGAGTTTCTCAGCATGTTGTTGATTGTTTTAGGTTGTCGTCACCTGTTCAGATATTTCACCGCTGCCTTGTGTATTTTGCATGGCTTCTCCTATATAAACGTTCGGAAAATTCCTACAGACGAAGCTCTTGAGAAAGCCGAGGACAATGTGGAAACACTTTCATGGACTTGATAAAATGGTGAGAACAAATACAGGGCCAGTTACGAAAATCGTATGCAGTCGTGTGTGTTCAGAAATAAATTAAACACGAGAAACGGCTCAAATTTAGCCAATAATTTTCCGGGATTTTCTAGGGAAAATAATTAAAAATACTAATGCTGAGATCAACCCTCATGTGACTAATTCTTTTTTTCTGTTTTCCCGCAGTCTTTCATTCTCCAAGAAAAGCAGTGTAGCTAATGAAAGAACCAATGGCAATTCCGCTAAGGTAAATAAAATTTGCAAGACATCTGTTTCACCGAGCCAGCCAATTACATGTGGCTCAGTTGTAAATACTGCATTGTAAACAGACAGCCAACATTGCCGAGAATTTCCACGAGTATATCTTAAAGATCTACGTCGAACTTAGCTGGGCTGCCTTTTTTGAACTAAGGCAGTTTGTCAAGAATATGTTGGCGAATCTTTGCTGAGAAAAATGGCTCTGCAGCTTTACTCACAGTCCAGACGTTCGCTTTTAATTAACGTGTTTCTATTGTATTTCGTCAACATTTTGAATTCAAGTGTAGGTAAGTGTTTACTTCTGGCGTTAAAAATATGTCTTAAACATAATATCTTATTTCAAAATCTACCGAACAAGTTAAAATAATTTTGTAACAATTCTCCTGGACGCATTGTACTTAAATCGTTAGTTTTTAAAAACTGAATATCTAGAAATGCATTCAGATTTTTTCAATTAACATAAGAACTCGTATTTACGTATGTGTTAACCAGATTTAAAAATAAAGTAAAATGAGCTTAGAGAAATAATCTTGTCTCTCAGATATTATAAAAAAACTCCAGTCTGCCGGTCACCTGATTATCAGTTTGAAGAGATAGCTCATGGATGTCTTGTGTTAAATGCGAAGTGTCTTTAATTTATTGCCCTCAAGCAAGGCCGCTAAAACAGCCACAAAACTCAATCTTCACCTCTTCAAATGATCGTTTAGAAAGTTAAAATGGAAAACACGAAACGTTAATTTGTTCATTAAGCCCCGGCAGTAAAAAAATAGCGGTGTATTTGAAGTTATTACTCGATATTTCTTGATGAAAAAAACTCGATCAGGGTGTTCACCATATTTCATGATTTTTTCGCAGTAGGGACACTTAATGCTAAAATAAATATAATGTAGAAGGTAGAATAAGACTTTTAAAGGATTAACCCTGTGTTTTGCGAGTTTCCTGGTATCGTTTTGTAATACCAGCTAAGCATTTCAGAGAAATAAGCTACAAATTAGTCGCTGTAGAGAAACGATCATTAGCCCAAGCGGTAAAATAGATGTTGACCGATGTGATAGCCTAAACAAGGTGCACATAGATAACAAAAAACAGAGGAAAGCTATATAAACATATCGTATTAAAGTATATGACGACTGTGTTTTTATTATCCGTAGAAAATACGACGACAATTTTGCTTTGGCGCTTTTGATTCTTTCGACCTCGGTGATTAGTTTCNTAAACATATCGTATTAAAGTATATGACGACTGTGTTTTTATTATCCGTAGAAAATACGACGACAATTTTGCTTTGGCGCTTTTGATTCTTTCGACCTCGGTGATTAGTTTCTGCGAAACTAGGGCAGTACACGCTGGCCAATCAGCGGTCTAGGTATCTCCTGCCAACCATGCAAAAGCGAAAATCCTCAAATTACAAATAAAATCCATTTTCGACACTTTCATGAATTTTCTTTGACTTGAAACTTCAAGAAAAATTATTTTGGATTCACTTTGTTTTTACTGGGAAACGCAATAAAAATAAAACTTGAACCTTGTCGTTGTAAAATAGCTTGACTAAATTGTAAAAGGTGCATTTTACAGGCTCGCCGAGTTCTGAGATTGTTCAAAAGCTTGAACACAGATTGCTAAACTCTTATGACAAGAGCGTCATCCCCAAAAGAGTACTGGATGTGGGAGTGAATGTCACGCTGGACTTGGCATTAAACCAAATTATCGATGTGGTGAGTAGAATTTAAAAAACAAAGGTAGCAGCAGCGGGTTGTAAAATTGTTTGTTATCTCTGTGAAACTGATTATTTACCCAGAAGTCTTTCGACTACGACTCGCCTCACCCGTGCCCAGGTCTCCGCCTTTTCAGAGCGGCCAACATGCACTTTGGAACGAAGTAAAGGTCATTGGAATGGAGATTTCAGAAGCATGGATGTTATCTGATTGTGTTCGTTACTGAAAAGTTTCATGATTTTCCTTTCGCAGAACAAGCGATCGCAGACTATGACCGCTGTCATTTGGGTGCGACAGGTAAGTGTATAGGGTCGGTGTTTTGGTCTGCTGCAACAACTGACAGATAATATGGTAATGATCTGATTTAGTAGTCGAGTTGAAGGAATTGAATGATGATGGTGATGATGATGATGATGATGATGATAATGATAATGATGATGATGATGATGATGATGCCACGCCTAATGATAATTGCTACTCTAGCGCATTTACCAGACACAGATTGTGATTGTCCGTGGTCCGGAAAAATACCCAGAATACTTCAAATTCAATCTAAGGGATCATTTCTTTTCCCACTTTTCACAGGTTCTATTGAATAACATAGATCCTTCTGTGTGTGGTTACTCAGCTCGATTCCGGGCTCATCGAACAATAAAGTCAAGTAAAAGAAAGACTGAATTGGTTCAGAATCTTTCTGTAGGTCATAGTCCCGGAGGGGGTGGGGGGTGGGGGGTGGTACGACCAGAAAAATCGGGTTGGGTTGTGCGGCCCGCCCACTAAAACCCTTATCCTATTTATGACTAAAATCTGTGATTTTCTCTGCCCTATTTATCACCCGACCAAAAAATTGATACCCCATTTAAGACCTGACCCTTAAATCAATACCCTGATTCAGACTGGCCTTATAATTATTTACTTAGTTCAGAAGTATCGTGAAGAGCTTTTTCTTGATGCTCCTATCGGTAATGATGAAAACGTAGCTTCTTCTAAACAAACATTCCGAATTAAAGACTAAAGTGCAAAAAGCATAAATTATTTGAGACCAAAATGGCCAAAATCGATACCTTATTTATGAAAAAAACGCCTAAAAAACTATACCTTTTAAGGCCGCACATACCTATATAGCCCATATAAGAGAGTAACTGCAATTCACCCTTGCCTGGATAATTTCATCTTCCTTAGAGCCTAGAAAAACTTGAAAAACTTGAATTTGAACGATGATTTTTCCCTCTCATTAGTATTGGAATGATCACAGACTTCGCTGGAATTCCTCCCAGTTTGACGGTGTGAACTTCATTGTGACTCAAGCCAGTTATCTTTGGCTTCCTGACATCACACTGTATAACAAGTACGTATTTCCAGTTGTTAAGAAGCAGGATTTTCAAAAGACTCAAACAAACGTTTTAATGCTGCACACAACATTACCCGCAACGTTTTTCACAATGATGCGATCACGCGCTGCAACTTTTTGCTTAACATTGCTGACGCAGCAAGTAAGTTCTGGTTTTAACAATCTCGTTAAAAATGGCGATTGTGTTCAGCTCAAGTTAGCAAGTAAAAAAAACTGCAGCTGTTCAGTGACTTTTCTCTCCGGAAAGAAAACATACACGTCACAGTTCGTCGCTTTTGGGTGAGAGATTGGATATCAAGAAGACATAAAAAGGCCGATAGTTGTGTTAGACCATTGCACGCAGTGTTACGGATAGTGCGCTCGCGTTGTAGTTAATTCTTGCACACGATGGAATTAAGCCATTGCATGCACTGTATCTCCACGGTCCAGCTAACCTGAGGTACGTTTATCGCCAACTTCAAAGTCAGCTGTATAATAAGCTATCAAGGCACCATAACACTTGTCTTCAAGGCACCATAACACTAAACTGTAGCTGACAGCAACAAAAATTGAATTTCTTAAACTTCTGGATTCCTCTGCTCAGAATTTGAAAGTCGACAGCTTCTTTGTAACTAACAAAGTCAAATTAGAAACTTGACCTACCCTATCCCTCCCATGAAGAGTGGCTGTTTACTTTAGCGACTTTTCCTCCAAACAAGTCAAGGCCGTCCCACCCGTTACTGAGTGATTCCGAAAGCTTTTTTCTGGTTTTACTCATTCTTTTTTTTGTTAATGTTACCCACCTACCAATCGTTCTTCAACTGGAATTATATGATTCCTTGCAGTGCTAAAGATGATTATAACATCGACAAGGAGTCGTATCACAGCCTTACGATATCCTCTGATGGAAGCATATCCAGGTACTTCCCGACTATCTACAAATCCTCCTGTAAACTGGACGTCAGGAACTTTCCCTTCGATGACCAGGTAACAGCCTTGAACTATTATTGAACTGCCATTTATCGGTTTCAGAGATTACAACACCTAAAGCGAGGGGGTACGTAAAGAACAGATGCTCCTTTCTTTAACTCCTCTTGTCTTCTTGTCACAATCCACCTCTCAGAAACACGTCTGAGACCTAGGGATTTCTGTTTCCTTAGGTTTGCAAGAACGCACAACGTTATAACCCCAACCGGTCCATAACTCTCGGCGCTTAAATTGACTCCGGTTCTGTGGTATGAACATAAGCGGGTAGGAGTATTGCTATTCCCCCAGGAGGAGATGCTAGTCAATCGTAGGCTACTCTCCAGCTGCATTCCGTCAGGTTGCCCTAACAGTTTTCTGTCACCCATTTATACTCCTGTGCGGGGAGAGAAATTGTTGTTGACGTGTCTTGTCCTATATACTACAATATAGTGGCTCCGACAAGGGCTTAAAACCGGACTATGCGAGTCCAGCGCGCTTACCATTCAGCAGGCTACAGCGTCTCCCAGAATCTTGTAAACTAGGCTTACCTGGAGTGACAGAATCACCTAACAATAAAAACGTCCAACATACCCTGCGTGACAGACCCCCCCAAACATGTAGCCTAACTAGCGTGACAATAACGCCAAAGAACATGAGCTGACTTCATGGATAACTTTATTGCTGTTTTGAATTGTTTGATAGGTTTGCCAGCTCAAACTGGGTTCCTGGTCGTACAACATTTATGAAATGAATCTCTTCACTCAAGGAGATGGTGACATCAGCTCGTTTATAGGAAACGGTGAATGGACGCTTCAAAGCATGCCCTCGCAAAGACACGAGACTACATTTCGCTGTTGTCCGCATCCGTATGTGTATCTGACATACGACATTCACATTAAACGAAGGTCGTTATATTATGTACTCAACTGTTTTATGCCCTGTCTCATTATGATGGCTTTGACAATCCTCTCATTCTACCTGCCTTCGGAGACAGGAGAGCGAATGGGTGTCGGTATAACGGTGCTGTTGTCTTTGAGTATCATTCAGTTGATTCTCTCCGATTCCCTTCCACCCACATCAGAAGTGCCGCTGATAGTAGTCTACTACGGGCTTACAATGTTGAACATTTTCATGTCGTTGGTTTTCTCATGCATTGTTCTTACTTTGTACCACCACTCTGCGCACTCCCTGCCTCACTGGTTGAGAGCTGTTCTGTGCGAATGGGGGGCAAAAGCGATGCGAAAGCAACAGGAGTGGTCCGCAATTAAAGAACAGAAGAAACAGATGGAAATGAGGGAAAAATCCACGTCAAACGAGATGGTTACCAATGGAGTTGTGGTGAACTGGATGCCAGCTCCATCACTGCCTTCTCATGTGGCAATCACGGAACTTATTCCAGGCCAAAACCCAGATGACCAGTCCAGCGAAACCGAGAATGATTACCTATTAAGTCAAAGATACCATGAGGAGGACAAAGCGGATATCCTTCGTGAGGAATGGAGATTCGCCTCGCGAGTGGTGAATAAGTTCTTTATGTGGATCGTGGTGTTCGCGATCGCGAGCAACGCTTTGTATGTCATTCTCAAGGCCCCAAAAGGAAATTTTATCTTGAATTGACAAGCAAAAGATACAGTCTCTGTTGACCGTGACATCAGTCGCAGGGGCAATATCTTGGCTGCGAGCCAGATGTGCCCATGAAACCGCCTAGATGGGCTGGTGAATAAACTACACCGTATTATTAGTTTGAACTGTTTTGAAGCACAGTATATATACTATCATTAAAACTGAAAAATCATGGCACGTTTTCCAAAATAAAGGCACATCTCATTTGCACCCAACGAACACTAGTCGACCAGTAAGGCTGAATGAGCCTTTTGCCAAAGACAATAAGGAAGCTGTGACTCGACAAAACAAAGCCAATTTTGTTGTTGTCTTTTGCAGTGAAAAGGAACCAAAAAAAAGGTCGATGAGAGTAGCCGATAAAAAAAGCAATAATAAAGTCCATAAGCCGTTCTACGGTTCTGTCAAACAGAAGATTGTTGCCATTCAATATAACAATATTTGAAAAAACAAAAGTCCTTATTGTACAAGCCTTGTGTCGCGTTGTTTGCCAACAGATTTCTCTTGTAGTTTGCTGTAAGATGATAAAATGGTAGAGTAATCAGCCACGAGCTTCACTAGTGCTGTGGTTTCTTAAATAAACTTTGTATCACACTTGAGCTTTGCGTGAGAAGCCATGAAATTTCACCTTTGAGCCAGAACCAACTACCTTGGAAGGGTAACGGTCACACACGTTTAATTTTTGCTCAAGGTTTTAAAACAGTTATGAGCCTGTAACATAAACCGAAACATGTTTATAATAGCCATTTTTCAACTCTGATTTGCTTTAAAAATAATCTGAAAGCTACTCCTTCGATACCCAATAACCGCTGGTACATGTACCGATAATTTACTGTAATCTCAAGAGGTATTTTGCGGATTAGATGGAGACTAGCGCGATCAAAGAATAACAAACAAAAATGAAACGCCAGCCATGCGAGCCGATGAAAGCAAGCAATTCTAATCAACGATAGTAACCGTGCGTGGCCCTCAAAGTCAAGAACATGTGATGTAAATAGTTACAATTCTTGTTGCTAATGTTTTTTTGCCATCTGCGTATTCGTCAAACTGTACTTTTGGACTCATCAACGTTCAACTAGGTATTGCATTTCTCGCGTGTATTTTGTCTGACTTGGCAAATCAGATGTGACGTAGACAAGGGGTCACGTTAAAAAAAATGAACTCTATCCTCGCCTAAAGTGAATGAAAACAAGTGAATGAAAACAACGTTTCAGAACCTAATTGAAATTCACTATACATATACTCTATATGAACAATTAAAATGTTTGTTAAGAAAACAGTATATATGCTTATTACTCTAAAATTGATGTCGCTGGCCATGCCAGCCCTCTTGTTGTCAAACATGGTCAAACAGCAACGAAACTGAAGGCGTTCCGCCAAAGGATAGATAGAACACTTTGTACACTGTTTGTACATTTGTCGAAAAATTTCTGTTGTTTCTCTCAGCGAAATGGTCTGTATACTTGATAATGTACTTCTGGAATTTTGAAGCCCTTTGCGACGCACTTTTTGCCGTGTTTAGCCATTTTAACACCCGCTTTTTTCCGTTCTCTGGCGCGTCTGTTTTGGAACCATGTGATGACCTGACGCTTCGTTAGACCAACAAGTTTCGCTAGCCATTCTCTAGATTTTGGTGACAAATGTTGTTTAAACTGGAAACTTTCCTCCAGTGTTTGAATTTGTATGTCGGTGAATACACTCTTTTTCGGCAATGATTCTTGACGAGGTTTATGAGTCAATGAACGTCGCTGCTTCGATAAGAGTACTTCATTAGGCTCTAAAGCAGACTCTCTACAGAAGTAGTTGGTTACAAAGCCCTCTAAAGCGGCAAGAGGATTGTCGTGAATATTATACTCATGTTGGCTGTTTTGGCGTCCTAAAAGGACAGGTAAAAGCTGAGGGCACGTCTGTTTTCTTGATCTGACGGGTCTAAATGCTGATAATCCGTTTTTATCCCCTGTAAGATTGCCAATTCTGTTCTGCAGGTTACCATTTTGCGTCATTTCGTATTGTTGCCTTTAACGAACTTTAGCGTGTCGCATTGTATATCTAGCAATTAGCTGAGGTTGTTTTTATGTCGTTGTTATCAGGGCGATCCAGGGGAGGACGTAGAGAAACAGCTGCAAATATACAGTTTCGATCGTATCATAAACTTACTGTTTAGTTTGGAATATTCGCACTTGAACATGAGACAACTGAGTGAGGATTGCGGACTAATTGACGGCTATTTGCTCAGATTTCGATCTTTTGGGGGTCAAGACTGATAAAAACGCTTGGGATATCTTAGCCAGTGCAGTATAGCAAATACTATGGAAGGTACTCCATTGTCAGGAGGCTAAATACATATGGTATGAACAAGAAGCGGATTGATGGACTACAGTATTTCACCAATTTTAAAGTAATGTAATGTTGAAGGCACAGAAGGAGTCAGCAAGCAACAAGGCCATACAGGAGTAATGGACCGATCTTAAGGGGAGGAAAGCCATTACGTGGAAGACATTCTACAGAGAGGCTCAGTAGAAGGCATCAAGAGGCTGCGTCGTGGATCAGTAACTAATCGACTTGAACAGGAGGAATACCATTACCTTGAAGACAATCCATAGAATGCCAGAGACTGACGGAGTCACCAGGAGGCTAGGCCATGAACCAGTCGATAACCGATTTAAAGACAAAGAATCCCATAAGGGAGCGGTCATTAACTATTTGGGGGGGGGGNGCCGGTATTATTTCAAAGGCAAGCCCCTCTCAGGTTAACAGCCCAAAAATCTTACCCCCCTTAACATGTGAGCCCAAAAAATTGTAACCCTCCCCTGTGATAACTTTTAGCTTCCACAGCTTTCAAAATGTACCAAAAACACAAATACAGTCCGAGTATCGGTCATAATATGAAAAAATACATTTTCAGTTAGCATACCATATCGTGCCCTTTGATCGCGGCCTTTTTAAAGAAAACTTTCATGAAATGATCTACCATTCAGTTATCCTAAAATATGATGCCGAGGTTGATTCCACTGGAAATTGCTCGAGAAAAAAACGATAAAAAAACTGAAAGCCAAACTAAAACTGCGTGCTGTTTTCAAAGCCATTTCAAAGCCAAACAAGCGATTCCGCGTGAAACCACCCCTCAACTCCAGCCAATCAGAGTGCTTTTTCACCGTGCGATTCAGCTTTGAGTATGCGATTCTATGAAGATTACCTTACACGGCTATCGTTTTTAAGCAGCGCAGTCCATGTAAATGCACCTCGTGCATTTACAGAGCTCTTGTCTGATGGTAATAAAGTTAAATTCTACGTATTTTGGTAATTCTCTCCTTGTTGGAATGCTACATCGCAGGTTAACCCTAACCTTTTGCCAGGTTTTTTCTAACAGTGGGTCAGTATTCGACGGAGAGAGGCACTATTTTGGTGAAATGCCTTCTGGCCCAAGAACACAAGACAATGACCTCGGCCGGGATTCCAGTTTGGGTCGCTCTATTACGAGTCCAAAGCACCAACCACTTGGCCACCGAACCTTCAACAGAGAAAGAAAATCTTTTCTGTTCCTTTCTGTGGATGATTTTCATCCCATCCTCGACAATTTCAAAATCATGTTGATTTGCTTTAGATATCAAGAACAGCTTTATTTAATAGAATCTTAAAATTTAAGCGTTAAAACAGGCAAGGATAGTATTACAATTGCTTTCTGCCTTTTGTTTCATGAAAGACGTCTTCTCGTTAAAAAAATAGACGCCAGTACACGTTGAAACACGTGGACTTACTCTTAGATTTACGTTATCAAAAATATCTCGTACGCTGAGAGATTTTGTGTGATTTTTCGCCGATTGAAACCATGCTGAATACAAAAAAAAAACCCAGTCGACTTAAAATAAGTTACAATTGTGGAAATACTCCGTTCGCTTAAAAATTAACGTTTCTTTATGCAGCTGTACCCTTATTGATGATAAATAGAGGGAGTCGGGTAACGTGTTACATCGTTGTTGCTACCCGAGTCAGACCCCGTGATGATTCATTTAGGAGGTTACAATCGCGCAATTTGCCAGACGCAACTGATTGCATGGGAGCAAGTACAAACAGAACAGTTGTAGCCTCCCAAATGAATCATCACATGATCTGAATTGAGTGGCAACAAGGATCTAAACACGTTAGCCGAATCCGTCTACAGATCGTTTTTTTTTTCATAGACGCGCCGAAATAATCTATTTAAATTTGTCGCCTCTTAACTCGTTTGCCCACCTCAAAAATCAAGTACTCAATTTACGTCATGATGCGAAAACAAAGATGGCGAAAATCATGAATAAATACCTTTTATGCCACATTATTTAAATCATCTGTGTATTAACAAAGAGTCACCTCTATGTTGGCTATCCAATGTCCGTACAATCAAACTCCAAGTTAGTGGGGGAGGTATATAACTAGCAAAGTGGAGGCGACCCGATGAAGATTATAAACTATTGACCGGGCAAGAAGACTGGAAAATCATCAGAAAGGTGTTTATCAGAAACGATGCAGCCCTTTTCAACGTAACGCGGAAAAAAAACGGGAATGTGTAACATCAACACACCAATATAGAGCAGCATGATACATTCTCTGGCAGAAACGTCTAAAAAACATCGTGTTTTTGGAAAACATTTAGCGATACAAAACTCCCGCCAGCAGTTGCTAATTGTTTACGTCATCATGACGTCATAGATAACGTCAGGTTGCTTAGCAACGTCTCTGATGGTAAACTACTGGCTCAGTGACAGTCGGCTGGTTGTGTGCGGTCGAGTTGCCTTCTGCCTCTGATTGTGACTGAAAGATTCGTCCTGTCGAAAAACCTCTGATATGAAAGAATTACAATTTCAATTAACTCTAACTGGTATCAATGGTTTGTACCAAGACTCATTTTAAAATAGAAGCTCTAGGTAAGAGCAAAGTGGCCAATTCTAGAGGACGAAGAAACAACGGCTGCCTCTCCTAGACAGCCGTAATGTATTTACAGTACTACACGTATTATGACGATGATCAGCATCCGTTCCTATCATGGAGTCGGTTTTCTGCAATTTCTACTGTTTGGTTCTATCCTCATTTCTTCCAACAGTCGATAGCGTTTTTACAGATTCTAGGCATATATTGTGTTACTCTCCACAGGTTCGTTGTCATTCACCGCAACCTCTGACTTACAGCACGGAGTAAAGCTCCTAACGCATAACCGAGCTAAGGTAATATGCTCAAGATTCACTTTACATCGTCTTTACAAATGCAGTCACTGTTTGATGTACAGGTCCCGCATTATCTAGGGTCATGGTCCAACTGATCATCCGTTGACGACTCTTCCTGCGTGTTTGTGTTCCTTGGTCCATCTATGTTTGTCTCAATTTGTTGCTTCAATTCCTCCATGCCAGTTCCTTCTACATGAGCTATCGCCTTAGTAACACACAAAAAAAGATCACCCTTTAGTAATTAAAACCCCATACAAACCTCATACAAAACCCAGACCAAACCCATACCAACCCATACCAACCCACACCAACCAAACCCGTACTAAACCCGTACCAAACTCAGACAAGACACATGCCAATCTCAATACAAAGTCCATACCAACCCATACTAAACATATACAAAACCATATCAAACTCCATAGCAAACCCATGGCAAACCCATAACAAACCCGTACCAAACCCATAGCAAACCCATACCAACCCATACCAACCCATACCAACCCACACCAACCAAACCCGTACTAAACCCGTACCAAACTCAGACAAGACACATGCCAATCTCAATACAAAGTCCATACCAACCCATACTAAACATATACAAACCCATATCAAACTCCATAGCAAACCCATGGCAAACCCATACAACCTCCATTCCAAACCCACCACAATCCCATACCAAACCCATACAACCTACATTCCAAATCCATACCAAACCCATGCAAACCCATACCAAACCCCATGCAACCTCAATAACCAAACCCATACCAAACCCATACAAAACCCATATAAACTCCATATAAAACCATAGCAACTCCATACAAAGCCCAACATACAAAATCACAAAAACAAACACAAAACCCATACCAAGTCCATACCAAGTCCATACAAACTCCATACCAAGTCCATACCAAGTCCATACAAACTCCATACCAAGTTCATACAAACTCCATACCAAGTCCATACAGACTCCATACCAAGTCCAGACAAACTCCATACAGACTCCATACCAAGTCCATACCAAGTCCATACCAAGTCCATACCAAGTCCATACCAAGTCCATACAAACTCCATACCAAGTCCATACCAAGTCCATACCAAGTCCATACCAATTCCATACAAACTCCATACCAAGTCCATACAAAACATACCAACTTCATACAAAACCCATACTAAAACCATACAAACGCCATACAAAACCCCATACCAGGTCTATAGAAAACCCATTCAAACTCCATACAAAATCCTATACAGTACAGTCCGCTTTTCCGTCTGACTGCGCGTCGATCCAGACGCATTTTCTATACATGTCAAAACTTTCCTACAAAGAGCTTTCAACAAGGGTACATTGTTCATATGTCGAACACCAGCTCCACCATTCAACAGCGGCTTGAGTGGTTGTTCAAAGGAGAGGTGAAACTTCGTCGAACAGGAATGCAATACACAGAGAAATTATAACAAACACAAACTATGTACCTTTTCGTTCCAAAACAGTTTAAATGTGGGCAGCGACGTGACTCTTTGTTGGAACTTCAACACCTTGTAAATAAAATATGAACACTGATTTTAGAGGGTGAGAGAGAAGGACGGGACGGTATACGTTTCTTTACGTTCAGCCGCTTCGGCCAGGTTAATCACCAGCTGGGACCTTATAAGTGACTCAAGGACCACGTACTTGCCACAAGGCAAATATAGACTTCACGCCTCCTTGATTTCGAAGTAAGAGAAGGAGTTTCGTTTAACCAGCCCCAGGCTCACTGGTGAAATGTGTCTACATAAAGTACTTACTTACTTACTTACTTACTAGAAAATTCAAAGTGCCTCAGCACAACTTTAATCACCTTATTTTATTTCGTTTATTTTAATTAACCCCATCTTCAATTTTTGTGATGTGAATCAAACGTTTACAATATGCATCCACATCCCCATATGTCACAAACTTTGAATGATTTAATGAAAACTTAGACAGAAATCTGTACTCATTTATAGCCCGAAGAACAGGCGTGTTAGAGACGTTCTTGAACGACGGAAAGCGAGATCCGGCAAAAGGAGTTTCTGTATTATCCCCTAATGAACGCAGACGAAATTTTTCTTCTCAAACTAAGGCAATATGAACGCTAATGAGAGTGACAAACCTTTAACTCGTCGACGTTGATCCGTGCAAACAACACTTTTCCGTTCATTCCGTAACTAGCATTCAGAGAATCATATGCGTCTGAAACGGATCTGCACAAGGAACACCTGAAAACGACAAAGGTTTACACATTGTTGGTACATTGTCTCTACCTTTCTCAGCTTTACGTGTTGCTTAGAAACTAAGACGCCCTGAAAAGAGAGTTCTGGTGTCTTGCGCTATCTAACATTGCATCGAGGAAATGAGTAAGGGGTTGGGTGTTCCCAACGACTTATGACAGTGATTGAAGCTTTTTGTGTTTGCCATAATGAAAGTTGAACTTACCAAGAAGCGTAAAACTTGACAACAATAAGTTTGCCTTGCTCACTCAATAATTCCTGCCAATCGTCCATTTTTGCGACATTTCTTACGCTATATACTAAAATAGAAAACACATCACACATCAGTTTAGATAATGTAGTTGACAAAGACCCGTCTCAGTTACGAGTTATAACTAAAGTAAAATTCCTTCTCAAGAAAGGAGCTGATTGGAGTGGTGTCACTTACAACGGGAAGAAAGGAGAGTGATAGGGTTTAGTTCCCAGAGAAACTGCTTGGCTGCGTCGACGAGGGGCAAGTTTAACACAAATCTGTATATTAACATGAAGTTGATGAAGGAAAATGACGTCGACGTCGAGCGTCAACCCGGCTTCGTCTGGGCAGAGCTAATGCTTGAAACTTCAGCTTCGAAAATTGGCTACGGCGGTTGTATTACCTTTATTAAGTCCTAGTGAAGTTGATTACCAGCTCAGTGAAAAATCAGAATACCTTTGCAAGAAATAGGTGTTTGGCAATCCATGCGGGGTATTTCCGTCTAATGAATGTGGTGTAAATGTTGTATGTTTCTACTAACTTGGACAGGGGGGTGGGGGGAGGGGGTCGTTATGGTCGTAGATTTCTAGAGGGCCGGTACTAATATTTGGCGCAATACCCTGGGGTATAAATGTAGTGTAAAAGATCATTAAAAGGTCGCATTACACAAGCTCTGCGTAAAGTTGTTTGTCAAAGGCACATGATGGAATTCGCTCCAAAACGGTGAAATTACGGCAACTTGCTAATGTGTTTTTTATCTTGGTTATTTTACAGAACCCAAACCAGGAGAAAAAAATGAAGAAACAACAACAAACAAAACAAAAACAGTGGATTTAAATTTCACACTAAAAAAAAAATATATAAAAAAAAGAAAAACAAAAAAAAAAAAACTACAAGAGAAACAAAATATACCAAGTTGGTAATCTTAAATGGATGATGTAAAACGAGACTTCGTGATGATCTCTTTGCGTTTTAATCAATTTGCAGTGAAACAAAAACGAATCCTTGTCACACCAAATGCCAATTTTTAACGTTCACAAAGTTGTCGATGGATGTTACGAAGCCTCTCGATTAAAGACTTGTAATCACGTGTCCTTAGTTGAAGCGTTGCGTATGTGTTCTGTGAGCATTTTCCCGCCATGTGATTTGGCGAGTTTGTGAACCAATCAAATCGTTTTGCAGACAGAGAACACGCGAGCAGATTTTTTCTGTCGTAACACTAGTTTTAAATGACGCAGAATATGCATTCATGTGAAATTCACTTCTCGAAATACTTGCCAAAATTACCGCCTTTCAATTCAATCAACACTCCAAGATGTTTCCTAACGTTATTGAATAGTTAGACAAAACAATAGTTTGATAAGGTATAGCGATAGAAACTTCAATGAAATGTTCTGTTACGGACGTCAACTGCACGTGGCAGCCATGCAGTCCGAGGGACATCTAAGAGTGCTGTTGGGCACGTATAAAGTGATTCACCAGCGTCATGTGTTTATGTTTAGGTATAAAGGGGTAACTTTACGATATATTAAGTCACGTCTTGTGACGCACGAAACAATCGAGGTCAAGTTCAGAGATTAGTATTTTCTGTTTCCATGCTGTCAAATTCGTGCCTTTCCTTCCAATAAGAGCCCCCTTTCTAATAAGCACACCCATAGCGAGAGTGACATCCAAGACATTAATTGACATAGAATAGACTCATAAGACAAATAAATTATGAGGTCTGATTTCTCATCTCTGAAGGTAAAATTGAACATCAGTGTGACCATCAGAGCTCCTATTGTTACAGTTCTTGAATTAAAGTATCTGTGTTGGTTTTCATGAAAGTACTGTACCACATTTCGATGTACATGTTCACAAAGAAATCAGCGCCTCGTGCCTAATTAGCGTCTCTTCTCCAATAGGTGCTCACACTTGGGCTACCCCGAGCACTCAATCGAATTCTTACAGTAGTTCCTTTGGTCTCAGGGGAAATATCGAAAAAAGATCGTTGTGTTTAGGTTAGGGATTAGGCTTACCGAATTTTAAGGCACGAAACGACGAATAATAATATCACACAAAGTGATTATGGAGGCTACCGCTGCTCACAGTATTGCGGTCATTTATTGCACCCAATGGTGCAAGGTTTGCCCAGTCCTCAAAAGCTCCTGACGGTTACAACGAGGTTTTCGTTCGAGCTCGAAGTAAGCGCGAGGGGATGGTGTCTCTAGCTCGCTAAACACGTGCTCAACTTAGAACCCTATAAAACTGCTGAACCGTGTGCTAACAATGACATTACAAAGTAAAAAAACTTTACCTGCGCCCTCCCCCTGGGTAAGCACACCTTGCTGATCGGTCCTCTGTACCACAAGTGCCGCACGAGGGGCCAAACCTTTAAATTAATAAATCAAAAATTTATATAAATACAGTAAATTTTATATTTATACACTGCCCCCTCCCGCCAGCCTCTGTGTTAACGTCCACTTTTGCGAAGTAACAAGTTGCAAAACTGTCTTCATCCAAGCCAACCAAGTCAGTATGTTCTTCGCAAAGACTTGAAGAAAGGTTACAAAACAGTTTATATCTTTCCTTCACATTTAGTTGAAAATTTTCGTCACCATCTCTTAAGGTCTTTAGAGGACGGCTATGAGCTGTACCAAGGTGTATAACGCACGTGTACAGCCCTTGTTCTGCACATTATTCTTCGTTTCAGTTGAGACGTTTTCGTCAGCGTTCCTATCGTGGTGTCGTCGCCACTGTAATTTTAGTGGGTTTCCAAGCCATTTTTGAGCATTTGTGGTTCAAATTTATGCAAAACGTAAAGAAATCCTCATGGAATTTGCACGTGCTAAGTTCACAGTGGTCAAAAGCAGAAATTAGAGATCCACGGCAAACGGCTAGAGGTCACGTCACTTTTGAGGTTTTCGACTCGCGTTTTGAACGTCGAGAGGTAGGTTTTTACGTAAGTCATTTACCTCAAGTTTTATTGTCTTGAATGTTATTTTTTACCACGTACAAATGTTGAAATCGGATAAACCACCCGTTTTTCTACGAACCGGTTGGAAATGTTAGGCAAATAAGCAATTACCTAGCCTAGTCTTAATTCGCTTGTCAACCTATCTCCTTGCTCTACAATGCAAACAAGAGTAATACTTCGAAGAAGCAAATCTACGTGGACTAAAAAATAGCTGAACGGCTTAAACGAGTTACCGTTAGTACCCTGAACAAGCACTAGGGAGCTTGAGCAACGACAACGGCGACGCCGAGGACGACGCCTAATCAAAAATGAATTTATATTTTACCATTGGCTCTAAAAATGTGCTCAAGCTAAATTCCAAATGGAAATACGAAAAATTAGTCGTCCCCCTTTCCTCAGACTACTCAGAACGTGATCATTTACGTTGTTGTTTTGCAGAGGACAATAAAGAAATGTACAAAGATTTATAACGCACGTGCACAGCCATTGTTCTACTCATCAAATCTTTTGTTTGGTGGCGTCTCGATCCCGTCGTCGTCGTGGTTTGCTTAAGCTCCCTATTAAGAGGACAACACCTTTGTCTTTCCCTAGAATTGTCAACAACGGAAGTTTATACAATCGGGCGTTTAAAGAAGCAAATTATCCGCCATGAAACAAAGGTAAGCTTCTGACCAAAATTAAGCGTAAGCTTAACTTAGGACTTAATCTTTTTAAAATGAATCGGTAAATTTTGTCATTATTGAGTAACGGATGGCAGGTGACGAAACAAAGGAAGTACACCTATCCAAGTGAAAGATAAGAAAGTAAAAGACTGTAAAAAATAAATGGATAATGATCATCTTCCTTGCAAATAATTATGTTATAATCGTCCCGAAGTTTCAAGTAACCATATAAGCGTAAGTGTAAAACATGTGCGGGGGGAAAACTGTAAACGTGAACATCACAGGAAAAGGTCTATTAAAATTCATATTCTTATAAGGTGAATTATATAAAACACATGAATATCGGTCAGGAGAGTTTGAATGTAATCTTACTACTGTTTCACCTGCTGATTCTAAGGTACTCTCCATGTCAGAGATTCTTCTTTGCGGAAACAACGTCATGAGAACAAAGTCATCTTGGCTTAGGCTGTCATTTGATGGCAAGTGATTTTTTACTTCCCTAAGAAAAACAAAACAATAATCAAACAAACAAAAAAAAGCCAATTAAAGTTAGTAAATCAAATATTGATTTTTATGTCTCTCTCCTTCAGTGGTGAATTTTCATAAAGTATTAGTGAATTCGAAACTTCAACATCAACCTTCCCCAGGGCTCATTTCTGGGCAGCAGATATTTTGAACTTTCAGCTAGGTCAAATTCCCCTCCCACAGGCCAAAAATGGTGTCCAGATGCCCTACCTTAGGGTCATACTAGGTGATCAAATGCCCCTACCCCCGGTACATACATGGTAATAATGAGTAATACAAAAGAGAAAAATCATCCTTGAACAGTGCACCTGCTTTGAACTTCCTGTAGGTCGCAGGTATTGTTTATAACAGAAATTGGGGGGGGGGGGGAATTTCACAGCGCTCTATAGATTATTTTGTCAAAAATAGTTTTCATTTCATGTAAAGTTTGTGCGAAAATTCCAGTGGACAATAATGACATTAGCTGATTAAAGGTGCTAGTTACTCACTGATATAATGTTTGAATTGTTGTGTTGTTAGGAAGACTAAGCAATAAGACCTGAAAAAAACAAACTAAGGTAAAAAGGGAAACAAAAATTTGTCAGCCAATCACTCACCCAGACTACAATGTTGACTGTTTGTATATTGTCAATTGATCTCTGGGTCTTGTTTAAGAGAAGAAAAACCAAACTCTTCAAGAACATGTAATCATAATCATTATAGTTTTAGATTTGACAAAATTATAACAATGTTCATTGTTGTATTCTTGGTTCTCCACTAACAAGAATGTTTAAAAGAAAATTATGTGCCTTCACACTTCATTTGATCTGGTAATCTATCAATTCTACATGTAGGTCTGAGTTATGTGATATTTTCTTTTAATTACTACACACTAACAGGTACAGTGTACATGTGCTGGTGCAGCATTTCTCATAAAATGTTGCTTAAATAAGTAAATATCATTCCATCAACAGGGCATCAACGTTTTGCTTGTCTCTCCTTCAGGAGCCATGCCACATATAAATCTTTCACAATGAAACTGTGTGACAGGATATTGACATGTGTCATACCTGACCATCGGGAATTCTTATTCTCAATTCCACCATTGGCAAATCACTATTACCACTCTGTTGACCAATAATGTCCTTGTTTGATGCTTCATCTGTGTTCTCTGTAAGTTTTGCATGTTTTGCCTGGTAGTAAGTTATATAAGAGCATTACTTTGTGCATACATTTACTTCAGGAAACCAGCTCTCTCCAGTTTGCTTTTAATACTAATAATTTGAGACATTTTTTCCTGAGTAAATATTTAACAATACACTGATGGTGTGCCAGGCAATGCATATTGGAAGGGTGTGGGATGACATGCAGGTTAAGAGCTGTTATGTTGGTAGTGTATGACCTGCATGACTAAACCATTAGTAGTGAGTGGTTAAAAAAAAAATGCCTGCCCTACCAATTAATGTATCAGTGGTTTGTGAGCTGATATTGTTTTAGCTGGCATGTGGGTAGTGCATGTCATCTGATGCATTAAAATATTAAGTGGATATAGTTTTTGTTTGTCAGTCAAGTATGAGTGGCACAACATATACTGTAGTTTACTGTCTCTATAAGGCAAAACTAGCAGATCTTATCTGACCAGTGGTCCTTTGTATTAGTCCTTAAATCTTGCAAGAAGGACAACTGGACCAAAGTATTAAAGATCTTGCACTAGTTCAATAACATAAGGGAAAAGATAAAAACAGCAGCCAAAAGCTGATAGCTAACTGTTGACCATCTGTTGACCTCTTGTCAACTGATTGTTGGCCAACTGTTGCCTAACTGTGGTCAGTTAATTATACCATGGAACCCTGCCTTATGGCCACCCTGTATATATGGCCACCTCGTTATTACGGCCACTATATTTTGGCCCAAACAAAAGCTCAGTCAGTCATTTTCTTATTTAAAGGACTCCTTTAATATGGCCACCCTGCTAATATGGCCAGATTTTTGCGGCCAGTTGGTGACCTGATTAACGGGGTTACATTGTACATGATTACAACATGTATACCATATAAAGTATACAGCCCCAGTCCTGACCTCGGTGTACTTTATATTTCTCTTGTGTTTCTTTCAAAAAAGGCACTCTATCAGTGGTCATTAACTGTACAGAAAATTAGAATATTTTCTATCACTAGTAAGTCTTGATCATACCTTTTCTAACTTTTCATCTTTTTCATCCTTCATATCTTTCAACAAATTTTCCTTNGGGACAGTTAATCATGCTGTGCCCTTTCAATATTCAGTATTAATCTCTTTGTAGCTCCATCAGAAACTGTTCACTTATGGTAATGAGGCAAATATTGTAAGCAAAGATTCTCCTATACTGGGGAATGACCTTAAATCAACTTGGTAAGTCAAAACCTGGAAGTGATCTGACCCTTACCACTCTCCCCTCTTGTTTATTGTTACCCAACATGTTTGGGAAATGAGAAATTTAGTAGGAATTAACAAGCACAACAACGTACACATAGCATACACTTGTAACATGAGGAACGATACAGGATGTACTGGTCACCAAACTAGGTTAGAGGAGGAATGGATGAGTCAGTCTTTTGTGCTTAAACTTATAACGATATCTAAGAAAATGACACTAGTTAAATGTACATGTGAAGGGGTTGTTGTCATACTTTGCCTCCTCAATCGCCTCCAGCCTGAGTCTTTCCTGAAACTTGTGCCTCTCATCTAGTGTTTTTTGGAATCTAGATTGCACCGGTGTGGGCTACAAAAAATAAATTAATAATGAAATGCTTGAATTGCATTGCATTGAAACAACATGCTTGATTATAGAGAGGGTCACACACCTGTTTAAATTAATACTTAGCTGTACAATTGACATTATCGCTTGAACAAATCTTCCCTCAGAATGAAATGACAAACTAGGTCGATAAGTGTTTCTATTTTATTCTCTCACAAATTTGTTGTCCATGACAAAATCTATTCACATTGCAATTGATATTCATCCTAAAACATGGCACATGAATTTCTACAAAATTAAACCATCATTGCTGGGTTGGATGGTTTGATATACATCTATAACAACTGCTTGTACATTGTATATGCCTAACTTACAGCAGGTGAAGAGCTACTTGCAAGTGAGTGCTGACTGACACCATGTGCGTCACCTTGCAGTACATCTGTAGCTACCACTTTAGTCCCTGATTGCTGCAACTTTATTGAGGTTGCTTTATTAGGATTCTGGTTTATCCTTGTAGGGTGAAATTAAAGACACAAGATGTACAAGTAATAATTGGCTATTTCAAGTGAATAATAATGTACTTTGGCAATATAGTTATAGAGATCAGATGCTTTGTATGTATGTGGTACTGTATGTAAACATGACAATTTGTGGGTTTTATGGTGGTCTAATGGTAATAGAGCACATTGTCCTGTGGATTGAGTATTCCAGGTTAGAGTGCAAGCCAGGTTCATTGAGATGTTTCTTTGGCAGGACACTTCACTTTATTTATTACTAACTCTTCTCTCCACCCAAGAGTATAAAATGCATACTGCTAACTAAAGTTGAAATGGAAACCTGCTGGGGCAGGATAACCTTGTGGTGGAGTACATGTAGCATCTCATCTATGGGGAGTAGCGTTAGAATAAGCGCTAGCAGTGTGGACCATATACATAAAGTATCAATCCAGTAACTAAAAGCAGTTTGACAATGGTTCCCTTTCTGAAAATTTCATCACTCTAGCAATGGATCTATTGATCAATCGTTCAATCAGTAAATTATCACCATAATTTTTGTCCTACCTATTAAAAATGTGTAAATCTTTCAAAATAGGTATTCACCAGAAGACTTTGTAGCGCATTAATCAACTCTTACCAATCAATAGCTGGCTGAATCCCCTTGTTTTTAGTCGCAATTAAAGCAATCTCTGCGACAACAATATCATAACCTACAAGCAAAACAAACAGTATTCCCCTGTTACGTTGGACACACCTTTCAATCTTCTTGCAGGTCTTGTCTCAGAAAGCACTGTGAGACAAGTTGCATAAAACATTGCATCACGTACAGGACTAAAAAACCGAAAACAATGACCTTGTTTTAGGTGCTCCACCAAAAAAGATAAATCAAATAAATATTGTAAATTAATGGTGAACATACCCATTTCTTTCATGTAGGAGAGCAAGGTAAGATCTGCCTTCACATCTTGATCAAACAAACTAGAGTCTAATCAATGAAATATCAGTAATTATAATGCATCAAATATTTCCACTTGCATGAGATTGGTCTAAACGTGTCATGTGACTGAATATGCCCCAGCTAAAACTGGGGAGTATGGTTTGCCTGGGTGTGGTCGTACCTCTGCAGGGGGTGGTTGCACTCTTCCCAGGGGGGTGGTTGCACTCTTCCCAGAGTGGCTTAACTGCACTGGTCCACATGCAACAGCCAGCTCTGACATACATGTATGGCTCCTGGAAGTTGCAGGCACTGCAATGACCACACCCTGGGCAACAGTGCTCACTAGCCATGGGAAGCAGCCCATTTAGGGGATGGAAATCTCCAAGCCAAAACCTAGGGGGCTAGTACTGTACCTGTCAACCTTACAAGGCAACTACCTAGGGAAGGAAAATCCCGATAACACACCAACCCTCCCTACTGCCTGTTCTCACAACAGATAATATTCATGGACAAAATTAATATCCAAGGGTATTAATTTTCATGCCAAATGGAGGCTATTGTTTATTTACTACAGTAAATATTATGACTGCACTCAGAAAGGTTACACCATAACATCATGATTTACGTCATGTCATGATATAAATCATTGCTTCCCAGATCATAGAAAAATCTCTATAAACAGGTGCATGTACAAGGTACGTGTACACGTAGAGCAAAATCAATAAGAAGAAAAAAAGAGACCATGTAGTCTCATTGCTTAACTGCAGCTGCCATAAGATTAAGGGACAAATGTTTCTATTTTACCTTAAAAGATATTAATTAAAAATATATGCTAGTCTGTACCTTGTAACAGAAGAGGGCTAGGGGAAAATTATCATGGAAAGGAAACCTACATGTACATGTACACTTCTTGTCAGAGGGTTGTATACTAAGCAATATACGGTGTGCAATCTTCAGTATACATGTACAGAGGTTACAATCTACAGTGCACAGTGTACATGTATAGAGGTTACAAATCCACATGTGTATACACTGTAAAATTGACATAATTTGTACAAGAGTGTGGCCTGGGCCATGAACAAGTGTCCACTGGTAATAAGAGTTGCCACTAAATGAGAGAAATATCCCTAATCAGAGGATTGTGACCGTGTATTAAATACCAGTAAATTGCTTATACTGAATAACATCTTACCTTTTTGTGTATTAAGCTTGAGCACACTGCTAGCCTGACTTGTATTTGAAGAAGCGCTGGTAGCATGACTTGTTTGATTTGATGGTAAAATACCAAGAGCTTCATCAATCAACAACTTGGCTCCATCTAGTTTTATAGAGGATGGAAGAACCAAAAAGTCACCTTCCTGAAACAAAAGCAGACAGCACTATATAATCACATTACTATATCCATGCACTGCATGTAAAAAAGGTAAATGTCAGACTATATCTATATATAGTCAAATCCCACTTTACAGACACCTACTATATAAACTGCTGGATTTACCTTTATTTAGGAAATAGAAAACATGTACCGTGTTTCTATCGAGTTATAGAAACACGAGTGGAAGTTTAGTTCTCCCAAACTCTCACAAGTGTTTCTATAACTCGATAGAAACACAGAGAACTATTTCTTTTAGAAAACACCGGGACGAAAAAAAGAAAAACAACTTGTTTACTTTGATCATCAAATGTAAATTCTCTTTGCTTGCACCATCATAATGTCAACAGCTCATGTTAGCTCTGTGTTTCCATTGAGTTATAGAAACACAATTTTTAAGCAATCAGCATACGTATTTTCTTAGGACTGTTTTCTACTTAATATTGCAAAAGTCTGAAAGTTTATGTGGACTTGGGTGATTCAAATTGTTCCAAGCTTTTTCAAGCATTTTCATCAAACTACTTGCATGATTTAATAAGAAGCAGTTATTTTCCCTTTTCTATTCAACAAAATAACAAAACATATACATACAAACCAACAACTACACAAGTACACATATATACATAACTATGAATGCAATTGGTGCACCTTTACTACAATCAAACATTTTGTATGGAGAGTTGTGACATCAGAAAGAAAAATACTTTGTAAGTTATACATGAAAATTAAACCTGCTCAAATCCTGAAAACAGCAAAAATGTCCTTGCTTGTTCCAGCTGCCAGATGACTGTGTTAAACTTTGGATTGCCTATAATTTAATTTTAACAAGAGAAAAGCTAATTGAACACTGGCTATCGATCTTTTTCAACATCAACGAAAAAGGAAAATTGATGTAATTCTGAATCAATCATGAACAGTGAAATCAATAGCTAAAAGTACAGTGTACACTCATTTTTAAATGAGCGTACAGAGTCCATTTAAAAATTTGTCAAGGCACCACTGTGATAGGATAATTATACTGTGATGGTTCTGAAAGCCCAATTTAGTTTTGCTGACATTTTCACGCCACAGAAACCGGAGGTACATGTATTAGTACCAGCACTAATGACCTACCAGTTGGCTCATCTGATCTCTAGTGGTAAATTTAGGGAACTATCCCGGTTTCCAGGCCCCCTTTTTAAAAAAAAAAATATATATGCAAAAAAAGATGAAAACTCATTAATCCTCCTTTTCCAGTTTTTCAAAAAAAGCCCCAACTGCACTGGACACTCTTTTTTTTTTTGGCATCTTCTGTGTGGACCATCCCTACACTTATTTTGAGCACCTTGGCTTATGTGTAGCCACACAACAGTGTAAGTCCTCACTGGATCACTGATTCATCAGAGCCGATGGAGCTCATCGCAGATATTAAAGGCTCGCCAATTCTTTTGAAATCAGCTATATTTATGATGCGTGGGACTTACACATGATTTTTACAGCTGCATTTGACATACACAGAACAGACTGAAGCTCGTGTGTCGAGCTTGGTGTACCTGTGTCCGTACATGTGCGTACACATCAATAACACTGAGAACAAGATATTACTGCTATGCCAGTATAAATGGGGTTATAAGGAGAACGTTCTTTAATAGAGGCTTTCTAAAAACGCTTAGATAGCAATTTAACTTACAAATATCAAACGTTTTAACAAACTTACTTATTCGAATTTTTCTGTATTTGGGATTCACTGGATCTTTCACTATGTTGTTCACATAGACTTGTATCAAAGAAAGAGCATTTTTGGCTTGATCTGTATCGGAGACCGATCTAAGGGCCTCCTATAAAGTAACAAAAACATAAAAACTTTAACAATAATTATAATATTCATCGAAGCCCTGAGTTTTCCTCACACCGTGAAGGAGGTAAACGTACCAAAGCAGCCTCCATTACTGAGCCCGCGTTGACTGCGGTGTCTGGTAAAGAGCATGCGTTTTACCTCTTAACCCACAAGAAGAAAGAACGAGCGCAGACAAGACCAGTGTTAGAACGCTCTGTGAAAATTTTGTTTTAGTGGCGGACAAAAGCGCTTTTTTTCGTTAGAATGGTATGAATATCGTGCATCCTTGTGCCAGTATTTCTGTTTATCTGGCACAAGTTCATTCAGCCGCTGGTCGACAGATGGTATGGGAAACCGAAACTCGAAAGTGGCACAGCAGATGGGAAACTGAATTCCGACGAAAAGGTGAGACTACTCTAGTCGACTCCAGATACATGTATATTGGCCTTGAAAAACTTTGATCTTGGCTAATGGGAGAATTAGACATCAGCTTGTCATTCGAATTTACATTTATTTCTTACTGTCTTTTACCAAATGCTTACAAATCGTGCATGGATGCACTACATGTAGGGACAATTATAATAAATTTCATCATACGTGATTAATCTTGGCAAAGATATGAAATGCATTATTTATATTGGCTTTTTTAATCATCTTGAATGCTTTAGAATCAATTGATTTCAAAAGTCAACATGTTAATGTCGTTTTCAAAAGGCCCTTTGGCCTATATATTGCCCATAAATCTTATGAAATTAAAAAGGCATATTACAACCTGTACATGTTCATGTACTTTGTGTAATTATTGCACTTGTTCTCAATTTGTATCATTACGTGATTACATAAACGAAGCTTCCTACTTTGAATATTTGTTGGCACCACTGATTAAATGCATACTTTTTACAGAAGAAGCCAAATATCACTTAAGGACATATCAGTGTACACTGTACTTCAGTCAATTATTGACTGCCTCAAGTTAGTGCATTTTCATGTTGAGGCTTTGAAAATAAACCCCTTTAAAGTATGCATTTCCTGAAAGCTTAATAAATGAAGAATTCAAATATGCTTTTTTTTTAAAAAAAAAAAAAAAAAAAGAACAAAAGGTTAAGAAATTTTTCATACATGTAATGAAGCAATATTGACACCTTCCCCTTTATCAAATTTGTTACATTCCTCGACTATCATGGTAATGTGATTAATATTGGAAATGATTCATCACATGTTGTCCTTCGAAAGCATGTCTCTGTCAAAGATCACTTTGTTTTCTTTTTATACCATTCTAATGTTTGATATTTGAATACTTGGGGTATCCTTTGACAAAGTCCTAACTTTCAAACCAGATAGAAATTAAAAGATTGGAATAACACTTTTGAAGGACATCTGTCTCGGAACATTCTCAGCCAAATTTCGGCTAAATCTGTAAAGAAGTGGCTGTAAACGCTTTTTCCTGTACAGCAGTTTTTTGTTTCAATATACAGATCTACTTTTGTTTGTTTTAAGTAGCTGATGACACACAAAGTGTTGGATTTAATGATGCACTGACAGATGACTCGGAGGATTTGCTTAGCATAACTTTGGTGTTGATGTCAACCTGCATTTAGCAGACATCAAAATGATAGAAAGAAGATGAATTTGTAGCAAGCTAAATGGCATAGTCCGATGCAAAATCCACGGGAGCAGATGCTTAGAAAAATTAAGTCACCATGATCTCTCACCGCCAAATTGGCAGCATTTGAAGTGTGAAGCAGCCACTGGATCTTGTACTGTTTTGGCTTGTTCCCAAAGCAAACGTGGATGATAATTTGTGAAGACATCAAAATAAAAAAGGGTGAATAAAAGATTTAAATGAAGAAATTATGGAAAACTGTAGATAACCGTAGAATCAAACTGCAATTGTGTGAAAGGTCGTAACTATGAATGTACTGAGAATTCATTGGCACTGTCAGGAATTTGTCAATGCTCTGTCAGCTGTAATTACAAATTCAGTCTTTATTTCTGTTTCTTGGAAACCAAAAAAGCTTTTCATTGCAATTTTTTTGAGAAAGAAAGACCACAGAATTTCCTAGCTAATGATTAAAACAAGGAAAATTCTTATTTCTGAGAGAAATTGAGGTAAACTGATACTTTACATGAGTGGTAGATTGCCAAATGGACAAGATTTGTTGTAAGATCTAATACATTTAGAATGAAATATCACAATATCTTTTTTATACAGTGGATTATTGTAACCCTGGTGTCAGCACACAAATTGCCCACTGTCTGGTCTGTACCCAGGTGTCAGTGTACAGTAGTGTCTCTGTGAGGATGGGTAATTGTTGCAATGACACAATCGCAGTAATGTAAGTCTTGCAGCTGTCACGCATTAGTCAGTCATTAGCTCGTTCATATCACGGTCCAGCTAAATTTTTTTACCCTTATTCCCTCCCACCCTTATGGCGTTGGAGTGTTATTGTCAATCCAGCTTTGTATCAGCTTTGTGACAATATGACAATAAATTCCTTGTTTCCAAACTTGTGGTTGTGGTTAAATGTAAACAATTCATGTTAACCATAACCATTAACCATTTAACAGTTAACCATTTAAACATAACGAACATCTGCTGAGCAGTTTCATCCACAAAGTGATTGTAATAGCAGAGGTGTTAGTGGCTTCTTACCATGATTTGTAAATTACCCTCTACCAATTGCATTTTAGTAGTTTTAGTGTGGCTTTATGTTTCATTGTAATACAGTCAGATCTCTTCAGAAGGGACATTGAAGGGCAGAGCTGAGTGTCTGTATAATGGAAGTAGAGACTGTACAGGGTGAATTCTCATTTTTCTGGGACTGAGTGTACATGTACAAGTGCAACTGAATTCATTTTGTCACAAGCGTGGGATGAAAAAGTTTGACTTCCCTGCAGGTCCTGCAGCAATCAAACCCAACAGTTGAGCTACAGGAGACTTGTACAGATGAATGTCTGTAGGTCAGTTATCAGGCTCATATGTGTGACACATCTCTCATGCTGCTGAGATCAATAACGTGAAATGCATAAAACATGCCTTTATTTGTTCACAAGTCTTGTTCTTTTACTTAGGAACTACAAGATGTACCCAATGGTGATCTAAAAGCAGGTGTTTTACCTGCTAAAGAGGTTGCTGTAGATGGCCATGACAAGTCTGAATAGGAACTTGCAGTATTCATGAACTGGTCAAGTCGATCTGAGAAATCTTTGCAAAACAAGGATCATGAAGACTTTTGATAAAATCCTGAACATAGGACAGTCAAGAGTTGGAGGAACAAGACGCTTTGCTTTGCAAAGAGAAAGTGGCAGTGGCATGAGCAGTTCATTTAACTACAAAGAGGATAATGACAAATTTATGTTCAACTCACAGATATTTGATATCTCTAGTACATGTACATGTACCACACTGTATACTAAAATTAATAATTCTGATAAACTGCACTTGTAATTTATGCATTAGGGGTAATAATTTATTGCATTTATTATGCATAAGAAGACATTGGTAATACAAACTGAACAGTGTCCCACAAATAGTTTCCTGTAATTGAATAATATCATCGTACATGTAATGGTTTTTAAAACACTGTTTAAAAGAACAGTGAAAACAACCTACTTAGTACATGTGTATGTGTTTTAATATTTATTTATTGTCTTAAATTTGTCTACATCATTCTGACCAGAGGTGTACCGTTTCTTAAATTATCAACATAAATTACAGTTCATAAACAGTATCTCTTGCTCTATTTTATGTAGTTCTCTCTCATCCTTGTTACTATATGTATTTAAATATTGCATTTGGAGGTTCTCCAGATCATAAGAAACATCCACTAAATTGTACATCTAAATTGTACAGCTGTTCTCTTCCATGTAGAGTTTTATAAATGCCTTCAAGCGATTTCAGAAAACCTTTTTTAACATCAGCTCTTCTGAAGTACGTACCAAGGTACATTTCATCAAACATGTATAATTACTGTGTATAATGCACTTTAAAATCAGTGCAAACATTCAACATTGTCATTAGTTGTCAATGTGGACAGACTTAAACCTTTACATTGTGATCTCCTGGTTATCAGGTTGTAACTTATACATGTACACAATTTATGTATTACACGGCAAAGATTTGCGGGGTCTGCATTCTACTGAAAACGTTAATTTGATTGGTTAAACCATATTTAGTTCTCATCACAACTAGTTTCAATTATTTATTGCTGAATTGTTGTAGCACAAAACAATATGGGTAACTTTTATTCTACATTTAGATACTTTTTGATGAGTCGCTTTCTAGGCTTGTACATGTGTATATAGTATTGAAACACGAACAAACAAACAAAATCAACCACAAATTTTTGCGGATGCAGTACAATGATTTTGAATGAGAAAAACAACCAGACCGAAGAAGTTAATAGAACATCTAGTCCATGGAAGGAAATGTGCAAACAAAACCAGCTTCATTATTTCTGAAAATAATGTTAGCAAGAGTTTGGCTGTGTGTCTTCAACTCTAGATTTGAAACCCTTTTGGGCTATATTATACAAATGTCAAATTAATGTATTTTTAAACAAGCTTGATTGGGATATAGGGCAGTGTCTCTCACTTGTTAATTCCGTATTCATGACCTTAGCCAAAGAGTCTTCCACTTTGACCTGTTTGTTTTATAGGGATATATAGTAGATTGTTTCCTTCTGTACGAAGGCAGATATTGGAGTATATGAGGCTGTTTGTGGGTACCATGGCCTGAAGCCTCGGCTGTAACGACAGCTTTGTTCAGTGCTTTGAATTGACAAAGTTCAAATGAGCTAGCACATGTACATAGAGAATCCTTTGTCTTTTGAAAGCTTCTTTGTATTATCATCATCGTTCTGTAAATGTAATCTCTTCCGCTGCCAGCACTAAATCTATTTCAGAGATGTGTCGATGACCAATCATTTGACGGACAAGTAGCTGGTTTACAGATACGAGTCAATCTTCATTTCAGTGCCTTGCACAACTGTTACAACACATCCTGCGGTAACCTGAAAACTGGCAGAAGTTTGCTTGTACAACATACATGCACACGTTGCCGGTGTAAGAGTCTCTGCAGTTCTGTTTTCTCGCTGCTTTTCCAGCTGTTGTTGGACAAGGAGTGTTACTGCAACGTTGATAGTAATATGGCTTGTTCTTGGAATGGCACTCTTTAGATACTTGTCCTTTGTCATTGAGGCACGTGACGTCTCGGAACTGGTTACCACCGCCACATGACCTGGAACACTGAAAAGTAGTGGATACACTTTTTTATTTGCGTGCTACTATAGCGCGTTGCCTTTACGCCCATAACATGAATTTATGCTAGGGACAGTCAAGGAAAAATAACTGAACTAAAGTAGACTACAAAGTAAAAAACAAGCTGAACGTTCCCTGAGTTGTATATACCTGGAACATCTGTTCGTTTCTAAATTATGTCGAGTTTCGCGACGTTGATGCTCTGCCATCATAAACCCTCTTCCGCGTCTGAGGTCTCGAATTGTCTTTCCATCCACGATACATATATCAAAAGGGCACTTACTTGTCATTCAGAAAAACAGCATTTTAATTTGATGTTTAGGCATTCCTTGATAGATTCTTTGCAATCTTAGTTTATACACGTAGGTACTCGCGTAGTTCAGTAGTCTAAACTAGACGACACTACCTTTATGGTAGGAAATCACAGTGGTTTAACAGCTGAAATCGTACCTTGCCCCACGCTGTGGTGAACCATTGTGGTGTACATGAGTCATTTCCGCATGATTTCACTGTAATAGGTTTGGAGTTCCGTGGACAAGCTTCGTCAGGAAACTCTTGGTACATACCTCCAACCATCCCTGCACAGAACACTGATCTGAACTGAGTGCCTGTTCCACACTCAACTGAACACTGTCAAGTGAACGTAACGCATCAGTGTCAAGATATGCACGGCTGTTGGTTTTTCAATATTTGTTTTACCGTCTTGCCTAAAAAGCCCTTATTATTGTCCGTTCGCCATGTTCAACTACAGAAGTGAGGATCTCATTTTCCTTGCTAATAAATCACTAAACCTCGTAGAGGGACTTGAATACGGTAATGCCTCGTTGATAAGGCAGTTTCCTTTGCATTTCACGTCAAAATGACGTAAATGACTTTCCATACTAACAACTTACGTAAAGCAAAAGCAGAAGAATAAGAAAATCCAAAGCTATATGCTCATAACTGTAGAGAAGTGTTTCGGTGCTGTTTTACCTTACTCCATTCTGATGCCACCCAGACTGCCTGACATTTGCCATTGTTGCATGGTCTGGTCGAACTTGGTTTCTTGGCATGAGAACATTTGTCTGACGGAAGGGCATCACCACCTTTTCTTCCACAGAATACAAGTCGGCTTTGTTGTCCTCTACCACAAGGCACTGAACACTGTGTGAACAGAGATATGAGTTAGAGTAAGCAGGTTGGATTAGGGAGAATGAATGGACTGAAGGAGTTCCTGAGACAAAAGGAGAGGTATACAAAATTGAACGAATGAGACCCCAGTAAATCATGAATCTATAAATGATTGAATTGCATGACAGAACGGACTGAATGTGCAAAAGGAAACCGAGTGAGACAAAATAGAATTGACTGACCGTTGGAGTTAATGAGAAGATAGATGAATTTTCGAATTGTGAATGCACCGAATGAGATAAACGTGTATAGGATGGTCACAAACGACGAGGAGACTGGATAAGTAACATTTCATGGCAACTCTATTTATTTTCTTTACATTGGTGTCGTTACAGCTTTTGAGCACCGTCTGTCTGAGTAACTGACATTACGTTAAAATGTTTTATAAAATGTGGTGTGCTTCAGTTGATGTCCTGGTAACGTGTGTCCTAATGTGAACGGCAGCATGTGTTAGACATTTAGAGAACGCCTGGTGGAAGGCTTAGACGCGCTTGCGGAATCGGAGACTCTAAATGTGGGGTAATGTTTTTTGTTAATATACACTAGACCTAGGGATTCTGCAAGAAGGAGATGTAAACAGTGAAACAGCGTGGACAGTGGAACCAGACGGGTGGACTCGGCCCGTAGGCACTTTAACGTCCTAAGGGTGTCCACTTATAACAGATTCAAACGGTGTTAGGCCTGGAAAATTGGCAAGACTGCATGCAGACTTCTGGGTAGTCGATATGCCGTCGGTTTATTATGATAGTGATCACGGTATGCTTTGTTTTGCAATTGGGCATGTATACTGAGCACTCACTTGAGACCACTTGTGGCTTACAACCCAGTCAGTTTTACAGGAACCAGCAAAACACGATTCTGTTGTCGGTGGCTTTGGATTGTGTTCACAGAACCTTTCATTGACTGTGGTATTTTTGATATCCACACAAGACACGACTCTCTGTTTGACTCCTTTTTCACATGTCACGGAACACTGTAGAACAAAGTTAAAAAAACGTTAGCGGAATTAGATGGATCAGGAAGTAGTTGAGAGAAAAAATGCAATCGGATTTGCGTCGGCGAAGGTTTAACACTCGAAACGTCAGCCAGCTACCTATTGCGGCGCTTAATTGTGTTGCCCATGGGACAACTCCGAAGAGTTTTTCGCTATATCTAAATGTTCAACGCCAGAATTTGCTTTTGAAGAAAAACTGAAAGTGACGTGCCTTGCTCCACTCCCCGACTGTCCAGTTTGCCGGAGGAGGGCAGGGCTGTAAGTTACAGTTGCGGCTGGGTGCAGGTCTCTCCCACTGGCGACAGTAGCTGATCGGTAGCATCTGCTGTTTCCTGACACCATTATTATCAACAAGCTGTTTACACAGAAGACTTCTGATCTGCATACCGGCTCCACATGTCTTAGAACACTGACCCCACTCTCCTGGTTCCCACCTGCATTGAAAATGGGAACTTATTAGTCCAGACAGACAGCGCTGTGGTTAGAACAGCCTCACAAACAGGCTCTCGGATTCTTCAATTTGGCTCTAATTTCGGACTTTAATGACATCCCTGGCAGTGCTAGAAACCAAAAGCCTTCACTGAGGTGAATTGTTTTAGTTTTTTTCAGACGTAAATTTGTGTCAGCCCAAACCACACCAAGATTGACCTCTCCGGTGAAAAACCAAATATCCGTGTGAAAGGAAATAGTAGACTTGTGCACGCAGGCAAACAAACAGTCCAAAAAGAAGAAAATCGTTCGATGACTATTTTTATTTTCGGTGATGCGGCATATTTTTACATGGTACTTTTTCGTTCTTCCTGTCAGGCAGAATCACTTAACACAGAAGATGTCTATCTCTCAAATTTTAGAAACGTCACTCACGAACAGTTTCAGAAGGCAAACTACTGATACTTCTTGGTTCAAGCCATTTGCAATGAGTATAGCAGGAGAAGCCCAGCCGGCAAACGGAAAATATACAATTGATGTTAGTTTACCTTGGTGAACAAGGCTGTAGGTTACAGACTCTCTGTCGTTGAGCTGGTTTTAAGTTCCATTGACACAGGGACTGTTCAACAACTGAGTTATCAGCTGATGTAACACACTGGTACACCGTTGTTTGAATGCCTATTGGGAAATACGAATTTCGTCAGTTAGAGAGTCAGTATCCTTCGGTTTGATGTTGTTTGAAGTGAGAACTCAAACGTTGGAATAAGTTGTTCTGACAGTTACAAACAAGTAATAATTGAAAATAAATCATGTTTACGAATGGTCCTACATTTTTACCATTTCTCGATCAAGAACGTATCACAAACACGTTTGGTCTGAAACCGGAAACGTCAAAATTTGCACTTCAAATTAACTATTGCCTTCTCTTAGCTCGACGTCATATCTGGCTAGCCAAATCTAAAGAAATGTCCCCTAACTTTGACCATTATCTACGCTTTCTGAAATCAAGGCTCGAGTTGGAGACA